TGATAGTCTCTCCCCCCTTTATACTTTGTTGGATATGAGTGACCATGCCTCCAATTTCTGTGCTGACTAGTTCATGACCAGTTTATGAGCAAAGCCTTGGCTAGTATCCATTGTATCACTAATCATCTTAATTCTCTGGCAATAACTTATGGGATGACTCTGTCCAGTGACTTCAAGATGGTGAAAATGAAAGCTTTTGTACAGTACAGCTCAGAGGTACATGGCCAACATGCATTCAAAGGCATGTTTGCTTGTTTTTACTTTTGTTATTCAACACAGTCAGCTTGCTTTGTTCCGCATTGTTTCAGAAAACAAAAGTTTTGTCTTTCAAAATGCCACAGCCAAAGCATCAAATCAACATTTGCATATCTCAACATCACAGGGATAAAGGGGCTGTCATTTCAGTGAAACAATGAGACAACTTGTTCTGATTCCACTGGTATTCTGTAAAATAAGATGTGAAAGTTTTTATGGACAATGTAAGATTTCAGTTGGAGATCGTGACAACTTTGTCTTAAGAATTTGAAATTAATGTAGAATAATGTAACTCAATCGAAAAGTTAGCTTTATCACTACACTGTAGGTACCTGAGAAGCTGCTTCAATTGTAGGAATTCCTATTCCACCATCTACTTCAATGTCCTTAGTTCTAAGGTGTTTGACCTGCAAAATAAAACAACTCAAACTGAAGAAATTTCAACTATCAGTTAAGTAGTCCCTTAGGGTGAACCAACTCAAAATATAAGGTACTTGGTCTGACATAAAGTACTTTATCTCAGATATTATTCATAAAGTACCCAATAACATGCATCACTCCCTGCATGGATGTAAATTGTACCCAAAATTTTAATCTAAGCAATTCACCTTTGGCATAATGTCTATCATGAACTTTTGTCCTCCAAATCTAGGCTCCACTGTCAACAAGAACCATATCTACCAGTTTCACATACGGCAGGACAGCTTTAATCAGTGTGTAGGGCTTGATGCCAATACCGACTGTAATGAAAAATATTAAAAAGTTAACCTAATAGCAGACAGCATAAAGCTCTATTTCTAGGTTCCTTGCGACTTTGCAAGTGCAAGCAGAGTGACTTCTATGTCTTTACTCAAGGTGCTATAAATGTGGTCAAACAAGTATGGTATACAAATTGGATGTACTGTATTGTGCAGAGTGTGCAATATGTAACAAAATGATGATTTTGACTATTCTTTCAATGACACACATACAACAAATTAGATCTACACAGGGGCCTGTACCAGTTTATCGCAGAAAAAATGCTCACTGATCTAGTGAGACATCATACAAACATGTCCATCTCCAAACAAACTAAGTCATACAAAATTGATGCAACACCACCAGATACAAAAGGAACATATTAACCCCACCAACTGTGGTGGATCTAACTCTGGGGGCCAAGTTATAACAATGGGTCATGAAAACTTGAAATGTTTTCCTCATTTTGAACTAAAACTTAGGTACTAAATGGTTGCTGACCTAGCATGATTATGGCTATTTTTACTAATACCTTCATTCCAGCCTCCTTAATTTGATTTATTAAGTCCACTAGCTTATCTAAAAACAAACAAATATAATTTTCTGTCAAGAAACAATTGCCATATAGAAACATTACATCAAAACAAAAATAGGGCTTCAGGACCAGAATTTTATCATCATTATGAATTAAAATACATGTAGTAATTATTGTGATGATAATTTTTTTTATAACAATTTATTTTTACTACAGCAATGATTGACAAAGTTTTTTCATAGTTCCAATCTGTTGCTTCCAAGTGAAAAGTGTATTGGTCAGCCCCAGTATCTGCCATGTCATCCACCAACTATACAATTAAAAGCGATTCATTAATTTATTAGTAATTTAATGATTGACCCTATGCATGACTTCTTTAAAATCAATCAAAAGGACCATCATAACCTCTTAAAGCTTTAGTCAAATTATTATACCATTGTTTGGGAAGTGTGGGGTGAGGGGAAGGGAGGGGGGGGAGGGTAACCTTACAGTATACCAATATGTGAAATGCAAATTAATGAAACTAGATTGAAACAATTTAAGCCAAAAATTCATGTGAAACTACAAGATCTGTATTGAAATCTTTGTGCCTAATCAGATCAAAAATAAATGACAGTCTGTACCTTGGATTTGCTACCATCATATGCATATCTGAAGTCAAATATTTGACAGGGAGAATCTTGCCTGATTTGACTCATACTCAAAGACTCTGCTGACCATTACTACCAGCTTGTAATGTATACTTCCTTAATTCCATCCTTAAATGTTTAGTATGTAATAATGATAGCTATCAATCTAAATAATGCTAACACAAATTTTGTCTATCTCCAAGACTGGATTACAAAATTATCATTGGTTAATTTATGATAATCATGAATGCTTTTGCTCTCTTTTTACACCCTTTTTGTAACACTTTGTTATGAGTTTGCATTTTTATAAACTTCAAGTTTACTTTGTTTATTACCATTAACAGTAACCTTGATACAAAAAAATTATTTTCTCACCCAAAAAAGGCATTAGGAACTTTCTTTCTCAAGCACTTGACCAACAGAGTACCAAATGTCAAGTTTGGTACAAAATGACTACAAAAGACAATGTAAATTAGTTATTTGCTGTAATCATGAATGGTTACACCCACCAAAGTTTCTGTACCAAATGCAAGCTAGTAAAATGTTGACTTAAAAAAATGCCATTTGTAGCAAAGACCCTTTTCTATTCATCTTGCAACTGATAATTCCAAAATAAATTGCAGGGCAATTGCATTTAAAAATATTTCCAGCACTCTGTACAAGAAAGCAGCGTGTTTTTAGCGTATAAACATATTGAAGAATAAGGATATGCCTAATTACATGTCCATAGAGTGAAACAAAAGGGCTGCCACTGATACTGCCACAGTATGAATTTTCCAATGATTTCCACTCATTCTTTACCCAATAGTACAAAAGCTGAAAAATATTTTGCAAATGTGAAAAAATATTCACCTTTCCTTTCCAAACTTTAATTCATAAACACATATAACTTTCATAAAAATTGAAAACAGTTTACAATCCAAAAATCTATCCAAAATTCAGAAATTTTTTCCAAATCAAGAAACATATTTTGTCATGTGACACTAACACCACTGGTCTGCACTTTGTCACAATACAGCACATTGTATCACAGTAGGTTGCACTAGGTTGAGTTGGAGTCACTACGTGAGCGGACTAAACTATACCAAGTGTACAGAAATCTGAACAGAAAACTGATCCAGAGACAGATGCCTCTGGATCAAGCTCTCACAAAATCTGCATGACCATGTCTTGAGGAACAGCAATATTGTAGCTTGTTCTTAGCTTGTTCCATATTGCACAATTGTCAGATTCTTCATACACATTCAACACAGACCCTTGTGAACTGTCATGTTTTTAAACTTTTGTCATGCAATGTTTTGTTTGTACAGAGGTCACCTATGATCTCAGCGATTGACATTTGAAACCAATTAATGTATATTCACATTAGGTTCGGCTGTAAATAGGCACAAATTTCAATTATATGACTTGAAGTTTATTAAAATGATATCCAAGAAGTGATGAAGGGGCTTCAGTTTCACATTTAATTTATATCTCCTGAACTTCATGCTTTGAATGGACTTCATTTCTTTTTCTCAACCCATACTCATGCAATCTTCTCTTAAAAGTCCTCAAGTTCATAGAAATATCATGGTACTTTTCTAAGAGCTGAGCAATAGCATCATAATAGAATCCTCTTTCAAAGTAATGTTCAGTGGCAGATCTCTCCTCTGATGAACTGTACAACCCCTTTTTCTGTTTGGGTCTCTTTAAATTTCCACATCAACAGCAGAACAGCTCATTACTCACATATTATTTTCCACATTTGTGGCAGAACATCACAAGACACTTAGTACAGTTTAGTCTGTTTGCATATTGACTCCAAGTCGACCTGGTGCTGCCTAGTGCAACACATTGTGCTGTATAGTGACAAAGTGCAAACTACTGCTGCAAGTGTCATGAGACAAAATATTTTTCTTGATTTGCAAAAATTTTCTGGAAAGATTCTTAGACTGTAAACTATTTTCGATTTTCATGAAAGTTATTTGTGGATTTATGAATTAAACCAGGATTTGAAATTTTTTTCTTGATTTGACAACCTTTCCTAAAGTGATTTGTCTAAAAGATATCGATTCTGATCTACAAAATATTTTTTGATAGCGGTCCCTTTTCGGCTTCCGTACAATAGTAATCATTCTTTGCCCATGATTAGAAAAGAAGGGAACTCCACACAATTTTATGAGCCCATCCTGTATAGCTTGTCTTCTATGCATGCAACACGAGTTCTGTTAGTTTCTAATTCGATTGGTCTGTAATCTATGGCCAATTTAGCTACTTGTATAGGGTATAGAATGTGGATTAAGAGCAGCAATTTTAACTACTTCAAGAAACTTGAAGGTGAAATGTATTGTACTGGTGTTCAACGACCTAATTTACAGGAGAACGTTCGAAATAAAAAGGGCCATCGGACGTACAGACGCTCGTGATACGATCGAAAATATCTCAGTTCCCACAATTTTAATGATTCAATATCTAGCATCTGCTGATCGAATCAGGATTTTTTCCCAGTAAATAAGAACCTATGCATAAAGAATCTTCCAACTTTAATTTGCCATCAGCTCATGAGATGTGTGGTAAGATATGCTCCTTACCTACCCATCCATAACATCTAGGTGTAGGTAGTCTGCACCACATTCTAACAGCCTGTTACATTCATCTGCTAAGCACGAAAGGTCGGCGTTTAAAGTAGAAGGTCCAATCTTACAAGGGCAGCACTACTTAGAAGCCATTTTGTTGTTTGTGGATGAAACCACTGACACATATGCGCGGGCTCGCGCAAAACAGCGCGCATTCCGAGCGCGTCCGCAGATATGCATTCTCAGCAAGCCTTGAAACCAGCCTCAGTCTGATGTTCAACCCTAGATTTTCTTTTTTCTTTTTTCCCCAACAATAAATCAATTTTAGCGGGGCTTTTCTTTACGAAAGCATTGGAGGTTTTTAGCTGAGTTGAATAGTCAGTTCTGTTGCTTTAAATTCAATTAATACTTTAAATCATTTTGAAAGTAATTTCGAAACTTATGATTGCGTTTCCGTTCATGGTAACCATCCTGAACTAGAACAGAATCGCTAATTTTGATCAAGTGCGAGCTTAATTTTATCGTTACTGGTTAGAGTATTCCAATTGTAGCAATTGGAAGAGATGCTTTCCAACGTCTGAGGCCGGATTAGGAGAAAATATGATGAGAAAATTTGTTTACCAGACATTGATAATGGAATTGCTAATAAACTGAGACCATTGCCTTTACTTTCTCCTAGACTCTGGTTCCCACAATTTTTGTCATTGCTCTAACCTTTGCTTTAAGGATAGCTAATTTAGGGGAACCCAGGTTTCCTGAGAATTGGCTCATCCTACTTTAAAATCAGCAAATGCTGAAGTGCACGCCTTAAGCTAAGTACATAGCTGGGTTTAAAATGCCTTATGAATGCTATCCAGAATGCTAGTTAGTTATAACCCAGAAAGAAATCACGATAGGGCATGAATATGAAAAAGAAGTTATTTCAAATTCAAGAAAACAGTACAACTGTAAAAATTATAGAGCGTCTGCTACTTTCCAGATCTAAAAGAAAATATCATCTTCTGGTCTAGAGACGTGCTTTGGAACAACGATTGTTGACAATATTAATACAAAGATAACTTTTGAAAAAATTGAAACAAATTATGTTTATGCATATTGGACTATGGATGCACTGTATTTACGAACACTGTCTAGTTTGGACCGATAAACGTCTATCTGGAGAAAGACGTATAAACCTGTGTTTCGTGTAACATGTACCTTATCCCTAAACAACAAAGACATCCTCATTTGCTTAATTGACACAATGTCGTTATCAGTTCTCCGTTTTGTCCTAATTTGACGTAACCTTTAAAAAGTCACAGTGATGGCTTCGGCGGAGTGTCTCGCCACTTTCGTCGTCGTGTCAAGCACAGAACAGCAAAGCTATTTCTAAAGTAATAATTTTCTCATAATACCAAGTTGATAAACTTAAATGGATGAAAGGGACACCTTTGGATTGATGTTTAACTCTAACTTCAACGGACAATGTTCAATAGCTGTCTCTGAGTTTGCATCAAGGAAAAAAATGAAAAGCAGACAGACTGCAATGGCAAAAACGTTGCCAAACCATGAGGCCGTAAAAGTAGTAAGAAGTTAAGAGACTTTTATGGCTCTAAAGGAGCTTATCTAATCTGTTCTACTATCTTTGATCAGCGTTTTCAAAAATTGCCTCCTTCAGTCTATTGATTTCCACAGTTCTATCAATTGTTTGATGGTTCTTGTGTTTCGAAAGTTATCCCGTTGGCAACCGGGCCATGGAGATTGAAGCTAACGACAAAGTACACCAAAGTCCCCGTGTTAAAGTCTCTTTCCACTTTACCGATGTCTGCGTTTTTCCCGACGTAGAGCTGAAGATTTCCTTGCACCAATTCAATATAAAGATGGCTCTTCCGACGACCGGATGACTGCTCTGACACCCGTATCCTTCCCTTGCATTCCAACAACTTTTTGCGACTGTCTACCCGCCAAAACTTTGTTACTTTATCAGAGTCATCTGTAACGTAATCAGTTTCTCCTCGCAGAAGCGTATTGCGAGTGATAAGACGGGACATCCCTTGTCCTCCTTTTCCAACAAACAACGTCGACTGAGTGCTTCGAAAATGATTCTGGGACTTCTCTTGACACATCCTTAATGCTTTAGTGTACTTTGGAGTAAATTCAAGTGAGTTACCATCGAGTATCTCTAAGAAGTAGATGGTCATCTGGTAAAAATAAGGGAGGCAGTCGTGCGGAGAAGCATCGCACCATTTCTCGCTAACATTAAGACCTTGTTCAAGACTGTAACATCTTTTCCCAGTCACCAAGACACAAACCTTCATCAGATGGTATGCGAGCCTATAGTCGTTCTCCACCAGCACTAGATCTTCCAGAAGTTTCAACAAGTACTCGAGGATCTCGCGGTGTAATGTGTCAATTGGATCATCGCCACTCAGAAGAAAGTGGGCTTGAAGCTTCTTGAGCTCTACTTGAGAAGACCTTGGGAAGTTAGGAGTACTACATAATGCTTTGCAAGCTCCAATTAAATCATCTCCATTCCGCTGTCGCCCGGATACTGAAAGTCCTCTTTTGAAGTTTGAAATTAGGGACAACCGAGCACTGTTGCTAAGTCGCTGAGTTTCTTCGGCATCTGTAAGATTAGGGACACTCTGGCAGATTCCATCTACTATGTCCAGCAAATTGAACGAGTCACTAACACAGGTTCGGAAGAAAGGCGGTGATTGGTTGGTAAGAAACTTCAAGGTTTTTTCGGAGTCGCGATTGCACAGATTTTTCATGATCCATTGGATGCATGCCAGCCAAACTTCAACTTCACCAATTAGAGGATGGGGATAAGTTGGTGGAAAGTTTCGTGCCTCGTGGTAGGCTCTGAGTACCTCACTAGCTAAACGTTCGAGCTCCTTGAGATCTTTTACTCGGCTAGAATTAACCTCACGCTTCATTTCATGAAAGAGAACGACGCCCTTGGTGTGATACAAGCTACGCAGTCGTACTTTTGAGTTGTTGGCTTTGAAAGCACTCTCAATGAGATCCTTTGCTTTCGAAAACGATGGTGGTTCCTTCTTAGCGAGAAATCTTGCTGCGTTAGCATATACAGCAGCATCATTTGTCTTCATAGCAGCCTCACAGAAGATTCTTGCCGCGTGCTCTGAATCTATACGTTTGAGCTCTTCAAACAATATTGAAAACTTGATTTTTCGCCCATACTTGTTGTGAAGAAACAGTTCTTCAAAGAGGGGCAAGAAGCATTCGTGCTGGTAAATAGGTAACTGAAGGAACTTGTTCACTATTCCGAAGAGATCACACTCTTGGACCTGTAAAACCTTTTTCAGAACCAAATCTGCGACCAGCGGATGTTGAAGAGTGTAACTTTCGAGTGGCGCTTTCTCTGGTGTTTTCAATCTCCCGTTAGGCCGGGGAGGGTCTGTAGGCACCATTAGATTGAGCAAGTGCTCTGTAAACAGACGTCTGATGTCCTTATAGGTGATTGGCTTATCGCCGGTGACGCGGATGTACCCTTTGAACGCCTCATACAGGAGAAAGGCTGGTGTTGCATGATTTGCGTATTTCTGCAAGAAAGCCACGACCGTAGCCATTTCCTGTTGGATGCCTCCCATTTCGTCGAGAGTGTCTTCAATTATCCCTTTTAGCTTGGGTTGAAACTCTTCCATCATGGCTAGTAGAGGGAAATGAAAGACACGACACAGCTTCTGTCTTTGACTCCCACTCAATGACTGAGCGATGTATTCTTTGTACTTGGATTGAAACTCGTTTAGATCAGCAAGCGAATCCTCAAGCTTAACATTCACATCAAATACATGGTGAACATGAGAAGACTCCTGGGCTACCCTCTTGGTTGACTTTGAACCATGTTTACAGCGTAATAGCAAGGCTCGTTTACCTTTGTTGCAGAGCATTCGTACGAGTTTATTTGAGAGAGCTTCAATCAATCCAGAGTGTTTCCCGTCGATTAGGATCAAAGGTGATGTATGGCAAAGTTCCTCTAATGCTGAAATTCGGTCAGCAAATTTGGTGGATAGTGTGTTGTCGTCATCGAAATAATAACGAGAACTCGTTATTTCCAGAATTGCACAGGGGTGGGTTTTGTGAAGGTCCCACACAACACGACGAGCTATAGTGGAACCACCTGTTCCAGGTGAGTGTCTAATTTCTACAATCACGGATCGTGTCAAACCCTGGTCGAGGAGACGTTGAACATGGCTTCGAATAACTATCTCAATTTCTCTTCGTGCGTCGTGATTGTCGTAAAGACTTACGAGTGAGATAGGATTTCCTGAAATGAAGGACTTTCTATGTTCTTCGAAAAAATTTTGCACTTCTGCTTCATCATGTGAGAATTCTGGGAGATCTTCACATCCTTCATAAAGGATTTGTAGGTGTTCTTTGAGGTACAGGAACTCATTCTGAGTGAGTTTTGCAGGAAGGCCAGCTTGCGAAGAAGGCATGCGATACTCTTGTGTTGATGTAGCGCCGAGAATTTCTGACAGTCCCTGACTAACACGTTCTGGGCTTAAGTCAAAATGTCGCACCTCAAACTTTCGTGAAATGAGGTGACAGAACTTGTGCTTAAACGACACAAATTGTATCTTGAATTCGTCAAAGTTTTCTATGAGACGACTCAACGTTACCTCTAAGAAGGATAGACTCTTTTCGCGAAATGGAAGGATAACGCACACGATAGGCTTTTGCTTGTCAAACTTGTCAGGGTCAGAATAACATCCAAACAGCCTAGTGATGTGTTTTACTGAAGTAGCCTCCCAATCCGGAAACAACTGCGCACTTCCCTCTGCGTCACTTTGCCTTCCATTCACGAAAAGCCATTGCGTTTTCTGAGGATCCAGTTGACGAAGCAGACTTCCCATGGAGCTTTTCCTCAGCTCTGCTGGAGTAATCATGGTGACCAAGTTGCTTTGCCCTTCCTTTGACATAAATTCATGATAGAATCCTTTCTCTTCAGACATGGGATCAAAGTCCAAAACCATCTTCCAAGTAACACCTCTCAAACTTGAAAAGTGCTCGAGATCCTCAGAAGGAAGGGAGTCCGTCACAAGAATGTATTGGTTTTGGTGAGATTGGAAATCTCCGACCATGTCACGGAAGTTCAGCCATTCATCCCAATTGGGACAACTTAGATCTTTTGGACTGACAGGAGTTTGAGCCGGACTGCTAGATGCATGGTTTGCAATTATTATATCAAGTTTTTCGCCCATCTCTCCAAGTTTGGCGTCCATTGTATCCAGCTTCTTCTTGTGATTAACGAACCAGGCGTGTTCTGCCAAGAACCGCTGCTTGTAGTACTCTCCAGAGTAAAGAACCTCATCTGTAAAGAGTACATGTTAGTGTTGTTGTTGCACCTTTGGTGAAGTAAAACGCAGCATATTGAAAAAAACTCTGAGATATTTTGTTTGATAAAACATGATCCCTGATTAGAATCGCTTTGTCGATGAGCAGAAAAGCTGATACTCCAAACGATAGACACCGTTAGCGCAGGGGTCTGTGAATTGATTTTTTAAAGCATAATTAGGTAGTTACATCATTTGTTAGACCATTAAGAGCGAAATGAGAACATCTCTTACTCTCTGTTTAATCGTTTACGTATCCAGTCTATCTCCCAGGAAAAAAATTAGTATTACTGCAACTACAAGAAAGTTGGGGAAAATAGCTATTGTGTTCATAAACAGTACTGTAGCAGTATGATGCATGTGGATACCTGACTGGTGAATTATGTCTGCAATATCACTTTCATTAGCACCAAGAACGACAAAGTTACTTGATAAATGAGGCCATAAAGTTTTGAAATCGTCATCAGACATCGACTCTGTAGAAGGATGTCCGAGCAACCTGTTTCGGGCAATTCTCAATTCCTGCAAAGCACGGGTGAAGTCAGGTGTTTTGTTTATTTCCAATACACAGCTCCTGGAGTTGAGAAGTACTTTTGTCATTAATGAAAAGTCCCATTCATTAATGTCTCCTTTATTGAAGCTATCTTCTTCCTCTTTGGTGAGTTTCATCTTCCTTCTATCGATCCCGGAAGCATCTGATGGTTTATTGGTCCACGAGGGATTGATATCCATGAACAACATGCGAAGCGCTCTCAGACCAACTCCGTAGACAAGTTTGAAAATGCACATGATGTTCCTCCTAACATATCCAAACAAATCAACATAACATTAGTGTTCCACTTTGTTTGAGGGCTCGAAGGGAGGTGCCCAAGAAAAACAATGATGAAATCACAATGATGAATAGGATCAAGAGTAGCCTACATTGCGGGCATCTTATCAGGCAGAGTTAACGTTCAGAACCTCGCGATCGTTTATCAACCGGTCATGTTTAATTTGGAGTTAGAGTCGAAGATTGG